GCATCCTCCGATGGAGCCAGCTTGACCTCAGTCCAGTGGTGGACTGAGGATTTTTAAGCAAATCTCTGAATGCTGGTTAATTTCCTCTTGAATTGATGCTGTGAGTCAAGCAGCAGAGCAGGTGCCGAGGTCAATTCTCCAGAGGGCTTCAATGTGAAGCTGAGCCTTGGTGCCCGACCTCAATGAAGCTGGTTCCTTGAGTGCTCAGGTCCCTGTGTCCCCAGTCCTCATCTTCCCTGCTGTCCAGGAGACTCGGGATCAGAGCTCTGGTCTCTCCCCTCTCCCAGCGTCTCCTTTCGGGCTTGCCTGGGATGCTCTCTGTTATATTTGGATTAACTGCAAATCTCCTTTGATTACTCACTCTCTGTTGAAACAGACAACCTGTTGCCACGTGTTTGATTACTGAATCTCAGGGGAGTTCCTATTTGTGATGCAGCCAGTTACAGTAGGCTCAGCATTACACACAGTCACCGAGCTGCTCATTCATTGTCTAAGAAGTTGCTTTGCAGTTTCTGATTTTTCAATAATAGGCTTCTCGCGAAGCCCTTAAGCTTCAGAAATAAGCCGAAAACTGCTTTTCCAGTCATTTACATAAACACAAGCGGATCAGGAGGTGGGAAAAAAAAAAGAGGAAGTCTTACATGTGCTTCTGGGGCTTGGGAAGGCTGGGGATGGCATGCGAAGGCTGCAGGTCTGGAAAAGGGCAATGGGAAACAGGCAGGCTCGTATAGCACCTGACACCCAGGCAGATGATAAATCCTGAAATTTCTCCTGACGCCCACCCGGCTGCCACGTTGCCGAGGCTGGGCGGATATTCTGGGCACCAGCAAATTGTTCTGTCAGCAAGCCGCTCCCTCAGCTGCATCTGGTTAGGAAGCTTGCCACTCATTCCCCACCACAGCACCTTGTCCCCATCCAGGGAGGTGGCATCCTGTCTCCTGGGACAGGTAAGGGGGTGGCTGCAGGAAAACTGCCCAGGAGCTCGCTCCAAGGGAGGGAAGATTAGTGTCCAGATGTTGCTCCATCTTTCTTTCTTTCTTTCTTTCTTTCTTTCTTTCTTTCTTTCTTTCTTTTCTTCCTTCCTTCCTTCCTTCCTTCCTTCCTTCCTTCCTTCCTTCCTTCCTCTTATTTTTAATGAGAGATTTTTTGCTATAGGGTACATGCACTTACCAGAGAAAAAGACAGAGACAGAAAGTGAGAAATTACCCCCTGGTGGAATGACCGTGCAACAATCCCTTCTCCTCCATTCTCTCTAAATTTTGGGCATGCACACACATGTGCCCAGTGTGAGTGTTAAGTGGCCAGGTCTGGGATTTGAACTGCAGTCAATGACACGGGAGTCCAGCAATGTATCTATTATGCCATCTGCTGGTCCTATTTCTTTTTAAGGTTATTTATCTATTGAGAAAGAGATGCACCCCCAACAGGATCTTCATGCCATGATTCACCCTGCCCCCATCTTGGCTGGCCTGAACCACTGCACCTGTGTGCATTCCCAGCATGCCCAGGGAGGTCCTGGCACACGAATCCAAGGCCGTTACCACATGGGTCAGTTTGGTAAAGGCAAGGATGCATTTTCATAATTCCCTGGAGAGCTAACATAATAAAGGACTAGACCATGAGCTCCGGATGTTTGGGATGGTCATGAGGGGCAAGACCAGAGTCAGAGAAAGAGTTGCAAAGAGTATAACTAACACCACACTTGGTCTTCCCGATCCACTCGTCTGCCCTCTCCCGATTAAGTAAGCAGCTATTTGAAACCTTTTTTGCTTTCTTAGAAAAACAACAGGAATATGGACACATATGCACACAAGCACACACCCCTTCCCCACAGTCTGCTCAGAGAAAAGCCACCAAACGCAAATTCCCTCAGCATCCTGCCGCCAAACGCAAAACGTTCTCTGCATCCATGTTCTGCCCACGGTGGCTAATTATCTTTTTTTCATTTCACTTTTCTTTATTGTAGTAAAATTATGCACAATATAACATTTATCATTTTAATTAAGTTTACATGTTAATTCAGTGGCATTGAGGATGTCTACAATATTGTGCAAGGGTCACCACCATCTCGTTCCATTTGTACCCATACAATAGTAAGTCCCGCCCCCCTCCTCCTACCAGTCCCTGGTAACCTCTGAATGTGTCCCCTCTAGATACAATGCAAAGAGAATCATACAGTGTCTGTCCCATTTCTGCAGTATCTCACACGGCATAATGTCCTCAAGGTGCATTTATGCTGCAACAGGTGTCAGAATGTCCTTCCTTTTCAAGGCCAACTAATATCCATTGTATATTATCATATATAGCTAGATAGATAGATACAGATATAAATAATTGTCAGGAAATTCATTATGCATTTTTGCATAGAAAAATATGTCGCGACATTCCCAATGACCTATTATACATACATACATGCATATGTGAAAGCAAAAAAGAAAATAAGTATGGCTATAGTATGTATCTATATACTCATATATATGTGTGTGTGTGTATACATATGTATATATACACATATATACATATATATATATATGTCCAATATATATATCAGACACTGGGCCTCTAGTCCCCCTTTACCTCCCTACTTTTTCCTTCTTTCCAATAATGAGTGGGAAGCAGTGCCTCATAATGGCCTTTGTGTTTCTTAATGACTAGGGATATTGGAAAACCACAGTAAGACACCACAAAGCAGGTGGCACTGCCTTTGTCATGTCTGTCCCATGGGCTCTGGGACCTCCTCCATGCTTATAGAGAAGAGTGCTGACTTTCCCATCCCTCAAAGAACACACTAAAGGTCCCTTAATATTCACCCTCCCCCTCCACAGGATAAGCCCCAAATTGTTCTGGGCACTGTCAGCTGAGGGGGTGTGTCACACTCCCTGGACCTATACGCGGTGCCATCACACTCTGAGCCCGGGTTGTGAGGCAGAGTGCACACGAGGGCTTGCGGGAGCCTTCTCTAGGGGACAGGACACCTGGGCATTCTGCCTTTCTTCATCTCTTGCTTCATCCCACCACCTGGCACACAGAGGCCACCACCATGGACCATGGTGTCAACCGTGCACAGCAGGTCCCAGTGACACAGATGCCTGGGTCCTTGAGTTTGGGAGCACAACACCAGCCATGAACAAAGTGGAGTATTGTTAAAAGCAGACAGACATCGTTCTCTTACACAAGCCCACTGTATAGTCTTTGTTGTTCTCAACTGAACATGGAGATTCTCAATTACTTCCCTTTTGTCTTGCTTGGAAAGGTAATGGAACTGGTCTCTCTCCTTAGCCTCAAGGATCATTCCTCTGCCTGTGCTCAAGGTCCCCACCTCTCCCACCTGCTCATATCCCTGAGGGCCTCCTTTGGTCAGCTGACCCCATATCTTCCTGTCCAATGTCTCCTATACTGGCCCCTGCCCATCAACACTCAAACAACTTTTCCATCTTACAACCAACAGCCACGCCCTCTCAACGTGCACTCCTTCCTAAGTTTTTTTGTTGTTGTTTTGTTTTGTTTTGTTTTTTAGGTTTTTGCAATAGGACACATGCACTCACCAGACAGTGACAAAGACAGAAAAAGGGTAACTGAGAAATCAATTTCCTGGGGGGTGGGGGGGATGGCCATGCTGCAACCCCTTCTCCTTCATTCTCCTCTGGATATTTGGGGTACACATGTGCCCCACGTGCCAAGCCACTGTGTTTGGGGCTCAAACTGAGATTGGCCATGCAAGAGTCCAGTGCCTTACCCACTACGCCACCTGCTGATTCCAAATTTTTCAAAGTTTATTTATTTCATGTGAGAGAGAGAAAGAAGAAGCAAGAGAAAGAGAGGAGCACTCTCAACAGTGTCTCACGCGGTGACCCTCCCCTACTCTCTCCCAGCCAGCCAGGATCACGGGCTTCTGTGTGCATGCTCGGTGTGTCCAGTCCAGCCCAGGAACTGAACCCTCACCATCCATATGGCTGTCAGCATTGTGGGGCATTGTGCCACTGCACCTGCACACTGGACCTGCAGTCCCCACTTAACTCGCTAATTTCCCCTCTCTCTCTCTCTCTCTCTCTCTCTCTCTCTCTCTCTCTCTCTCTTTCACAGACAGTCTTTTGAAATAAATATCCACATTTTCTGGCTCTACTTCCTCACTCCACTTGTCTCTCCCACCCTACAGCTCTTCCCACAAAACTGTTCTTCAAGGAATAGAAGATATTCTTGCGACTAGTATAATCTCGCTTCACTCATTCACAGCACCTAGTGCTGCCAGTATCCCCACCTTCCGAAACGTACACCCTGTGGCCTCCAGAACATCATGCATTCTGATTTTTCTTGAGTGTTTGGCCATTCCCCGTCAGACTGCTTCCCTAGATCACGTCTCTCCCCAGCCTAGCAAGCCTAGCTTGCTCTGTTCTAACACTTGCTCATGGTGAACAGTCTACTTTCCCAGTATTAATACAAATGCTATGTCTGCCTCGTTGCTTATACCTGCATGCATAGGGCCTGAGTAAATACTTCCGGCACATGCGAAATACAAATGTAAGGGAGAACGTGGCCATATCTGCATCTGGTAGGTTGCTTTGTTATAATCAAGTATCTTGATGTCGCAATGACAAGTCCATATCTTCTAGAGCTGATGGTGATAGCTCATCAGGACCCAGAAATACTGAATTTAAATAATGAACTCAAGTGGCAATAAAATTTCAAATATTTAAAAGGAATGTTTAAATAAAATCAACTGTAAGCAAGGATAGGAGGCGTCTTGGATAACAGTTTTTAAGAAAAATACACAAAGATCAGGTCACACTATGCAAAGAACACTTTTTAAAAAAATCAGTTCCTTTGTTTATTTTTACATTTGTTATAGGGCACATGCACTCACCAGAGATAGGTAGATATAGAGAGAAAAACAGACAGACAGAGAAAGTAAGAAAGCAAGCCTCCAGGTCTGGGACACGAACCATGGTCAGCCATGTACGAGTCCAGCACTTTAACCACCTTGTCACTTTCTAGACCCAACAGCTTACTTTTTAGAGTGCTGAGCACCACCTCTACAGGAGCCAGTAGTATGGTATATCTCTAAGAAGAATACTAACACAGTCATTGAGTGGATCTACATAAATATACAGTCCAAAATTTGCTAGGCAACAGTTCATTCCACTTCGCCACTCGGTACATCTGGAAGAGTCCTCTCTGGTAAGACCTTCTAAGTTGATTGTTATCAAACTGGACCTGTTCAGAAGATGATTGGGATGATTAGTGGTCTAGAAACTATGCCATGTGATGATTAAAGGAGGGAACTCAGACTGTCGAGATAAGATAAGTAGGATCCGTGATAACCATCTCCTCTGGAAAGTGGATCACACACTCCTACTTGTATTCTGATAGCTCTGAAAGGCAGAAGTTAGAGAGGCAATTTTTTGCTTCACATAGATTCATTAGTATTGCATTCAGCAGCAAGAAAAAAAAACCTAATTAAATGAGAATTTTTTCCCACGAGTGACAATAAGAGTGGAAGCAAGCATTTCAGAGCTGGTACCATCGCCACATCATCTGGAATCTTAAATCTTAAACCTCTGTTAGATTGAGGCATATGAAATTCCCCGTATTCAATTAGTTGACTTAACAAAAGTCCATGCTGTTTGACCTAAAAGCTTCCTTCTCTGTCATTATTGGTGTGTGTTTTTTGTCCTGCTGTTTGAGAGTTTGCTCTGGGCCTCCATGAAATTTTTCAGGCTCTCAGACACAAAGCGACACTGATAAGGGTCAAGAAGCACAGGCTGGGCCAGGCAGTGGCTCAGCTGCAGTGCAGCTGGACCCCCACGGGAAGTGTACTGGATTCGCTTCCTCCGACATCACTGGACACTGCAAGCATCTGTGCACATGCCATGACGGGCTGGCTGCGCCTGGGGTGCGCCGCTGTGTGGGGATCCTGTTGTAGGTATCTCTCTTTCTGCATCTCTTGCTTATGGAAGAGACAAATAAACTTAGGAAACAGCACAGGGCATCTAAGAACCACCTAAAATCCCACTCAGATATCTTGTGCTTGCATTCTGTTGGCCTGAACTGCATTACATGACCACACCCGGCCATAGGGGATCCGAGAGGTGGGCATTTAAATGGACACATTACTACCTTGAAAACGTGTAGAGTATGCTTTGAACAGAAGAGTTATAAGGTCGATACTGAGGTGGCATCAGAAATACCTGCCGGAAGAGGAAAGCGTTTTCCCCGGTAATATACCCACTGTGGGAAAGGGTGTCAGTGTCAGTTATTCTCAGCCATACCTGCACAATGGGATCACAAATATTTAAAATGGAATGTTTAAATAAAATCAACTGTAAGCAAGGATAGGAGGCGTCTTGGATAACAGTTTTTAAGAAAAATACACAAAGATCAGGTCACACTATGCAAAGAACACTTTTTAAAAAAATCAGTTCCTTTGTTTATTTTTACATTTGTTATAGGGCACATGCACTCACCAGAGATAGGTAGATATAGAGAGAAAAACAGACAGACAGAGAAAGTAAGAAAGCAAGCCTCCAGGTCTGGGACACGAACCATGGTCAGCCATGTACGAGTCCAGCACTTTAACCACCTTGTCACTTTCTAGACCCAACAGCTTACTTTTTAGAGTGCTGAGCACCACCTCTACAGGAGCCAGTAGTATGGTATATCTCTAAGAAGAATACTAACACAGTCATTGAGTGGATCTACATAAATATACAGTCCAAAATTTGCTAGGCAACAGTTCATTCCACTTCGCCACTCGGTACATCTGGAAGAGTCCTCTCTGGTAAGACCTTCTAAGTTGATTGTTATCAAACTGGACCTGTTCAGAAGATGATTGGGATGATTAGTGGTCTAGAAACTATGCCATGTGATGATTAAAGGAGGGAACTCAGACTGTCGAGATAAGATAAGTAGGATCCGTGATAACCATCTCCTCTGGAAAGTGGATCACACACTCCTACTTGTATTCTGATAGCTCTGAAAGGCAGAAGTTAGAGAGGCAATTTTTTGCTTCACATAGATTCATTAGTATTGCATTCAGCAGCAAGAAAAAAAAACCTAATTAAATGAGAATTTTTTCCCACGAGTGACAATAAGAGTGGAAGCAAGCATTTCAGAGCTGGTACCATCGCCACATCATCTGGAATCTTAAATCTTAAACCTCTGTTAGATTGAGGCATATGAAATTCCCCGTATTCAATTAGTTGACTTAACAAAAGTCCATGCTGTTTGACCTAAAAGCTTCCTTCTCTGTCATTATTGGTGTGTGTTTTTTGTCCTGCTGTTTGAGAGTTTGCTCTGGGCCTCCATGAAATTTTTCAGGCTCTCAGACACAAAGCGACACTGATAAGGGTCAAGAAGCACAGGCTGGGCCAGGCAGTGGCTCAGCTGCAGTGCAGCTGGACCCCCACGGGAAGTGTACTGGATTCGCTTCCTCCGACATCACTGGACACTGCAAGCATCTGTGCACATGCCATGACGGGCTGGCTGCGCCTGGGGTGCGCCGCTGTGTGGGGATCCTGTTGTAGGTATCTCTCTTTCTGCATCTCTTGCTTATGGAAGAGACAAATAAACTTAGGAAACAGCACAGGGCATCTAAGAACCACCTAAAATCCCACTCAGATATCTTGTGCTTGCATTCTGTTGGCCTGAACTGCATTACATGACCACACCCGACCATAGGGGATCCGAGAGGTGGGCATTTAAATGGACACATTACTACCTTGAAAACGTGTAGAGTATGCTTTGAACAGAAGAGTTATAAGGTCGATACTGAGGTGGCATCAGAAATACCT